GAGCCGTGGTTTTGTCGGGACGGGGGTTGTCGGCGGCGAGGAACAGCACCGTGTTCAGGACAAAAGGAGGAAGCCTCGAGCGGGAGCGTTGTTTTTGCTGGGAGCGGCGCCAATTCAAAAGAGAATTGGGCGCCAGCCCAGCGTAAAACGGAAGGAAGTCTCGGGCAGGAGCGCTGGTTTTGTCGGGGCGGCGGCTTTCGGCGGCGAGGAGGAGCACCGCCTTGAGTAAAAAAGGGAGGAGGCCTCGAGCGGGAGCGTTGTTTTTGCTGGGGGCGGCGCCGATGAGAGAAAGACTTGCGCGCCAGTCCAAGGTAAAACGGGAGGAAGTCTCGAGCGGGAGCGCTGGCTTTCTTAGGACGGCGGCTTTCGGTGGCGAGCAAGAACACCAGCCCTGAGCAAAAAGAGAGGAAGTCTCGAGCGGTAGCGTTGTTGTTGCTTGGGGGCCGGTTTGGGCGGTCCCCCAAACCGCTCCAGCGTCAGCCTCATGTGCAATGAAAATGTAGCCGACGTCTGGGCGAGAGCGCCAGGGCACCTATAAGGGGTCCAACAATAGTGATTAACATTCTTCATGAACAACAGCAACAACAACCACAACAACAACAGCAGCAACAACAGCAGCAGCAGCAACAGCAACAGCAACAGCAACAGCAACAGCAACAGCAACAACAGCAACAACAGTAACAACAGTAACAGCAACAGCAAGAACAAAGACAACGATAACGACAACGACAACGACAACACCACCACCAACAACAACTACAACAACCAAAAACAACAGCAACAAAACATAGGCAGAGGAGCAGGGCGAGAAGACGCGACGGGGGTAGGCGAGGAAAAGAAGGAGGGAGGCGAACCCCTGCAACGGGCCAATGGGAGCGCAGGAGGAAGCGAGGAGGAGGGGACAGGCAGCAAGGACACACGACAGGGCGGAAGAGCAGGGCAACGCAGGACGCAAAGGGACAAGGCGAGGGAGGAAAGGGGGGGGGGCAAAAGAAATCTCGGCTACAGCAAGCTCTCGAGGCAGTTGTTACCTCCGCGCTTTTCGGACGCAAAGGCTGGCTCAACTCTTGCTGCGGGAATCGGCGTGTTGTCCTCTGGAGGCCTTCTGGTGCTGCGGGGTTCGGACATGCCTCGTGCTCTCGCTCCCCCTTCGCATGGTTGCGGCTGGCCCTCGGCCCAGAAAACTTTGAACGCATCGCGGGGTGGCCCATGGGCTAAGGGAGGCCCCCTGTCCGAGCCGGCAACGCTGGCAGACCTTGGTGATGACGTCCGACGTGCATAATGTGATAAAGCGTTTGCCCATGCCATTGGTTGGACCCTCCCAGGCTACCCGTTGCGTTCCCTCGTCCAAGTTTCGCCTCATGTCGATGATGCACTTGTGCTCAGTCGCGTCTTTTGCTAGGAATGCCTCTTCGGAGGACCTCAGAACATATAGCCAAATGATGTTAACATCACGCTTGGAGCAAAGGGATGCCCCCTCAACTTCCTCCACTCACTGTTACATTGGATTGATGAAAACACTGTCTGCGCCCAATTTAGCTACAACACCATATTAGCGACAGGAAGTTGCCCCAGCCCTGATCGAGCAAAAATGGAATTGGCTCTTCTCTGCCGAGAACGCGCTTAAACCAGAACTGTTACGCCAGCTGCTCTTTGAGCACCTGGTTTCTTTGAACAGCACGTCTGAGGGAAATCCTGTCCTCTCTCGGCCGGCTTTGGTGGGCACGATTGCAGCATTCATACGATTGGAGCGGCTCATTCCTTGGATATGCGAAGTATTGCAAAACGCTCCCAAACGATACAAATCTCACATGTTCACGGTCGCCCGTCTCTACGGAAAAGTCTTTCGAGGTTTGGGCGCATCTCTATCCTCCCTCCCCTGCGAGGCCGGTTGCAGACCCAGCACCCCCCACCACAAATTGGATGGGATATTTTCGAAGATCTGCGAATCAGCTGTCTGCTGCTACCCCCTTCCGGGCACCTTGCACGAGAGAGCACCTCCACACGCGATTTGGTGGTCAGTTTGCACTGGTGCCTCGTTGGGCATGAAGACTGTGTGAGTGGAATGGGGAGTGATCAGGCTACCTCGGCCCCGCGCGTCCTTCCCTGCTCCTCTCCTCGCTGCTCGTTTGCTCGTGCCAACCGCTAGCCTTTCACTTCCCTGGTTCACGGCGCCGCAATCCGAGACCGCTTCGGCAACTCCGGAGGCGGCGAGGGCTCCGGCGAGCAGAAGGGCGCCGGGAAGAGCATCTCATCCGATGGTGCGCCCAACGGCGCAGGCCATCTGCATCCATCGAGGAGGTCTGCGGAGCTTCGGACCGCCCGCGGGCGACCTCCCCGTCTGCGCCAGATCCCGCCCCGACGCCCCTCGGCGGTGCCGAAACGTGCCGAGGGTGGGGAGGAGGAGGAGGAGGAGGGAAGAGGGAGGAGGGAGGAGGGAGGAGGAGGGAGGAGGAGGGAGGAGGGAGGAGGAGGGAGGAGGGAGGAGGGAGGAGGGAGGAGGAGGAGGAGGAGGAGGGAGGAGGGAGGAGGAGGAGGAGGGAGGAGGGGGAGAGGAGGGAGGAGAGGAGGGAGGGAGGAGGGGGAGGAGGAGGAGGGGAGGGGAGGGGAGGAGGGGGAGGAGGGGAAGGAGGATGGAGGGAGGAGGGAGGAGGGAGGAGGGAGGAGGGAGGAGGGAGGAGGAGGAGGAGGAGGAGGAGGAGGAGGAGGAGGAGGAGGAGGAGGAGGAGGAGGGAGGAGGAGGAGGAGGAGGAGGAGGAGGAGGGGAGGAGGAGGAGGAGGAGGAGCTGGCTGGTCGATCTGCATCCATCGCGCTGCCCTAAGCAGCGCTGAGCAGGCAACGGAGGGGCTCCCATGGCCACCGCGAACCTCGGCCACGTACGGGGCCCCCCGGCCTGGGCCCGAGGAGCGGCCCCCGGCGGCCCGAGCCCCTCCAGAGCCCCTGCAGGGGTCCTCGTCCTCCTCCTCCCTCCTCCTCCTCCTCTCCTCCTCCTCCTCCTCCTCCTCCTCCTCCTCCTTCCTCCTTCATTCCTTCCTACTCCCCGCCCTCCTCGCCCCCCCTCCCCTGCTCGCCTCCACCCCCTTCCCCCCTGTCCCTCGTCCCTACCCCTCCCCCTCAGAAAGCGTGGGGGGTAGGGGTAGGGTTCGCATGCGGTCCCCTAGCAGTGGTCCTCGCGTTGGCGTCTTGGCTGTGCTGGCAGCAGACACAGCAGCCAGCGTGGGTCTTCGACCACAGCCGGGATTGATTGGATAGGACACGCGATGGGACGCAAGACCCTTCCGAGGGCCACATTGCCATAGGAATGTAGGCGGCACGGGTCGCGACACACAGGACACAAGGGTACCCTTGATTGGCGGGGTCGGCCTACTAATCGACCTCGACTGTAGAGGAGCGAGCTCGGGGCCATCGCGGAGAGCGTGCGCCAGCGTGGGCCGGATCAAGGAGCAGGCCACTGCTTCAGTCTGCAGGCTACGCGCTCGGGATCGGCACCAAGAAGACGGATGGCACGTTCGCAAATCGATTGACGGATCACCAAAAAAGCCGGCGGCACGTCCTCAAGACGGTCGGCAAGCAGCCAACAGCTGCCAAAGATGACAGTTCCGATGACGGAAGCTCCGATTCGGAAGACGTTGGCCTCGATGACCTCCAGTAGCTTTGAAGAAGGATAAGACGGAAGAGAAGAAGAAGAAGAAGAAGAAGGACACATTGAACCTCGGCAAGGAGCTTGCCAGGATTGTGGATGCGGCCCAGGCTACGTCAGGACCACCTGCCTCCAGCGGTGCTGGTAGCATTGACGACGTACGTGGCGAGGCACACGACGTGGCGAAGCTCGTCGCCGCCATGATGCGGGAGGCCAGGAGTAAGGAGCTTTTGGCTGCCGCGCGCCCGACTAGCCGCGGCCGCCGCATGATTTACCCCGATGCCTAGGAGCCCCCCGAGACCCCGAACGCGGAGCACACCGCGAGCATAAAACAGATCATGAAGAAGTTCACGCCTGAGGCCGAGGCGAAGGACGTCCCCTTCGATGTGGATGGATTAACGCGCTTCATCTCGCAGACGGCCGGGGAAACCAAGCCTAGACTCAACTCGGTGCTCAAGCCGAATGGCCTGTCAGAGAAAACGGCCCGGAGCAAACAGAAGAAAGTGGAACAGCTGTTGAAGTACCTGGGTGAACAGTAAGCACATGCCACCCGACTATTCGGGATGTGCTGGCGTGACTCGAGCTCAAATGTACGGGATCGTGCTGGCCGCCATGCCAGCTGCAACCTTCAGTGACTCCTACCTTTTGAGTTTTGAACATATTTTCCGCTTGAGCGCGCCAGTGAGCACGTCACTAACTCTCTCCGCTTGTTTTGCCGCCCTGTTTTTTGCTGCTGCAGCTCTTTTCTGGGCGGGCGCAGCAGCAGCATCGGCGGCTGGAGCTTACCAACCTTCATGGTCTGCACGCCCATGCTCAGCCTAAACGTGCAGCTCCGTAGCGATTTCGAGTCTGCCGTGTGGGGTCTCTCGCAGGGTCTTTCGATCGTGCTTCTGAGCTCTCTGATGTTGGCACAGCTGACCAACCGCAGAGGGGCGAGTGTGCCAGATCGGCCTCCCCAGAGCCGGCATGGGAGCGACAGAGAGAGCAGCGTCGTGGAGACAAACAAGTCCTGCCTTCACTCACCCCCTCGCCTCTTTCGTCGCCGCTCCATGCACCAGCAGCAGCAAGCGGAGGAGGAGGAGGAGGAGGAGGAGGTGGTGGAGGAGGTGGAGGAGGAGGAGGAGACGGTAAACAAGGACTCCTGACAACCGCCGATATGTTTGCTTCAATCCGCGGCCCAGAAGGTCACGACCCATCACCCGGGGGTGTTTTTCGTCGCGAATCAAGTTTGATGGTCCCGGGGGCCCGAAGACGGGCCCTGGAGGCTGGAATCGGGGAAAAACGCTCGGACGGAGGTGGTGGAGGCGGAGGAGCAGGAGGAAGAGGAGGCGGAGGCAGAGGAGGCGGAGGCCGGGGCTCCAACTCGGCGTAGGCCAATCGGAGCCGCCGGGCCTCGGCGCCGGCCTGCTCCTGCAGGGGGTCTTCGTCGTCGTCGTCGTCACCGCCTTCGTCGGCATCGTCGTCGTCGTCGTCGCCGTCGCCGTCGCCGTCGCCGTCGCCGTCGCCGTCGCCGTCGCCGCCACAACCGCCGTCGTCGTCGCCCTCGCCGTCGCCGTGGCCGTGGCCGTCGTCGCCGTCGTCGTCGTCGTCGCCGTCGCCCTCCTCCTCCGCCTCCTCCTCCTCCTCCTCCTCCTGCTCCTCCACCTCCTCCTCCTCCTCCTCCTCCTCCTCCTCCTCCTCCTCCTCCTCCCGCTCCTCCTCCTAGTCCTTTTCCGCCTGAACGAGCGAGCGAACGAACGACCACATGCACGCACTGGAAGCGCGGCCCTGTTGAGCGCAAGCGGGAGGGACCGCGGCACCAAGAGGATGAGAGGCAAGAGGCGGAGAAGGAGGAGAGGGATGGGCGAGGAGGACGAGGAAGAGGTACCGGACAAGGAGGAAGGGGTGGACGAGGAGGCGGACGAGGAGGAGGTGGTGGTGCACGAAGAAGAGGTGGTCTAGGAGATGGCGGTGGACGAGAACGAGGAGGAGGAAGGCGAGACCGAGGAGCAGGAGGTGAACGAGGAGGAGGAGGAGGAGGAGGAGGAGGAGGAGGAGGAGGAGGAGGAGGAGGAGGTGGACGAGCAGGGGGAGGAGGAGGTTGACGAGGAGGAAGAGGTGGCGGACCAGGGGGAGAACGACGACGAGGACAAGGAGGAAGGCGAGGTGGCGCCGCCACCCCCATACTTTTTGCTCCGCAAGATCATCATCTGCCGTCTGCCCTCGCGGGAATCCTGCGGGACGCCTCCGCGACGGCCCTGGCGGCCTCCCTCGGCCGCTTTCCCGCCGGTTCGGCGGCGCCCCCGGCGCCCTCCCTGGGCCGCCTCCTCGCCGCCGCGCGCGGGTCCACCGCGTAGAGCGGCAGCTCCGCCCTGCCGATGCTGCAATACTCGGTCGTTTAATGTGGCGGAGGGGGAAAAGGAGGGGTGAGGAGTTCGATGGAAGCGGAGGAGGAGGAAAGGGAGGAGAAGGAGGAGAATAGAGAAGGAGGATGAGCTAGGCGCGGCTTCGCCATATCTGACATCATGTCCCTCCCCTCCCTTCGAATTTCGCTGATTTCTTCTATCCGCGACAGCGTGTCACAGCCGACCTGGAACCCCATTGCTCCGGCAAAAAACCCGAATAGCAGCAAAGGTGACTTGTGGGACCTTTGGGGCTGGCGGAAACTGTGGGCCTTGTGATTTTGTAGAACCTGTGGAACCATTCGGACTCGTGTGGCCTGCGGGACGTCGGCGGGGCCCCTCGGTGACGGCCGCAGAGTGGGCTATGAGAGCTCGCCCTCGGCAACGGCAGCTTGGAGATCAAGGAGCTGGGGATGCTCCCCGAAATGGCCGCATTCTCTAGTGTGCGGCGGCAGCTATGACCAATGTTGCGCGGTGATCACGGTTTTCGGAGCAGCCCTTTCGGGTTCCCAGCACGGAAATTTCCAGACGGTGTGCTCTTGGTGTTTTTCTTCTTGGTTGCACCATCTGCACATAGGAGACAGGTCGGCAGAGATGCCGCCCTTGACTTGTCTCTGGTGCCTGGGTCACCACCACACTGGCAGTTGCAAAGGAGGCCGCGATGACACGCATTGCATCTGGCCTCGCCTTTCGTTATGAGAAGCAACGCGCTGGCAAAATAGCCAAGCCTCTGTGTGACCGCAACGACGGACGGCACCCAGGTCGTGTCTGGTGGCAGGAATGAGCCGCAGAAGCAACCTTCTCTGCGACGCGCGGAGCAGATGCGTGAACAGCCCCGATGGCAGGATGAGCCATGACAGGCGGGTGGCCCAGGTCGTCGCACTTCGTACACGCGCTGGCCAAATCCATTCGTGCTGGGAAATAGTTTGCCGAAATCTACTCACTGGGCCTCCTCCTTAAAAGAACTGCGCACTGAGACTGGCGCCTCGCCTCACGCCGCACTTGCCCCCTCAGCACGAACAAAGCCTCCATTTGTGCGATGGCACCAAGTTCGACAGCGCGCCCTGGAACAACGAGCGCGCGGAGGGTCCACTGCGCGATCCACGATGCCCCTTTGGGCCTTAAATGGCGGCGACCGCTGCGCTGTCGTAGAGGTTTCTTGCTCTGTGGCCGGGCGTTCGGATGCGAGCGCCAACGGCGCGCGCGAGTGCACCCAAGGGCCTATCTGATCGAGCTCTCGCAAGGGCGCCTTCGGAGAGTCGCATGACGCGCGGAAGTCCGACGACGGCCCGCCCTGCCCAGGCGTCGGCGGCGGCCTCAAGGTTCAGGCGGGCGTCGTCCACTACGGGCGCCACGTTGATGTAGCTCCCCACCGGCTCCACCTGGCGGCGCGCTTGCAATAAATGCCCGCAAAGCTGAAGCGCGGCCACCTGGCGGTGGATCGCTTCGCCCACGGCCCAGCCAAGTCGCCGGCGTGGGTTTTCTAGCCAGACAACCGGTCGAAAAAGACGGCGTCGTCGAGTGACATGTGGAACTACCTGGCCACGGGGGCCGCAGAGTTGCCGTCGTCGACGAGCGTCGCGCACAGCGAAAGAGGCGCGCGCCGGCGCCGTCGCTTGGCCCGCGCGCGCACGACGAGTTTGATGCGATGTCGACAAGGGAAAGCGGCCGCCTTGGAGGCGCCCGCTGGCGCGCTCGAATGATCTGGAGCGAGCCCCCCCCACGCGGACGCATCTCCAGCGGCCATCGTAGAAGCACTGCCCGACTTGCACGATGTCGGGCGAGCACCTGGCGCGCAGCGCGAGATTAAGGGAGATGTCCGCTACGAGGCAGCCGAAACACTTTCGCCAGTCCAGCGCAGCCCCTGCCAGAGGGACTCGGAGGTGGCGCGTTCAACCTGCAGCGCCAGGGCTGCGCTGGCGCCCCCGATCGCGGGGCGCGGCACCGCGCCGAAGCTTGCCGGGCGGGCCCAGCGGGCTCTCCAGGATGCAAGGCCGCGCAAGCTGGCGCTTACCGCACATCCACATGGACACGAAGAGCAATCATTGGTCGGTGGGGAGCTCGCCTTTCCCCTCCCGAAGACATGGGCAAGACATGTGCACGAGAGCTTCTGGAACTTCCCCCGCGCGTTGAATTGTCCTCAGCTCTCGGGCGAGCGGGGGGCTCCGTCCCGGAGCGCGCTGGCGCCATAGCCCACCTGTCCACGCCCCCAGCCCTGGCGGCGGAACGGGCCCGGATGAAATGGACCAGGGCCCCGTCGGCCAGGGCGAACGGCTGGGCTTGGGCGAACACAGAGAGTTCCTGGTGGCACTCCGCTTTGAAGCCCATCCAAATGTTTTCGTCGGAGCAGCGCCCAGCGCATCGACATCTGCCCTGGATGGGCCCCCCCCCCATGCACGTCATGAGTTTGAGCAAGGCTCTGGCGTCAGTAAGAACTGCATCCTGATTGATTTGCGTTGGAGCTGAGTTGTCAGCGTCACTTTCGTTGCCCGTGGCGGAGTCGCTCGGGGCGGTGGCAAAAGAGACTTCACTGGGGCGTGGCTGAACGTCGGGCGCGTTCCCGTCCCCCGACGCGCGTCTGCATGCGCGCTCTTCCGCGCCGCTCGCGCCTGGCGGCGCGCGCGGGCGGCCTTTGTGCGGGGTGCGCAGGTAGACGGTGCACGTGTTGTCGGCCGATTTGACTCACTGGCGTCTCGCCCTGCCTTCGCCGCTGGATCGCACGCGAGCATCGCCGGCGTCGGCGCGGTTGGTTTCGCCAGAGCGGCTGCGTCTCCTCGGCCGCGCGTCAACGGAAGCGATTAGGCCATCCAGCGGCTGGTCGGTCGGGAGTTCTTCGCGGCCCCAGACGCGCGGGAACTCCACAAGGCCAGTTGCGCGGCGGCGCTCGGCGAGTTCACTTGCATCCGCCGCGGCCCAGCGTCTAAGACGCCCGGCGCCGTGATCGCCCAGGCATTCCAGGCGGCAAGCCACGTCTCTGCCAATTACTATGAGATGCCGCGAGAACTTGTCAACAGCGACTGCGGAGCGACTAGCCGCTCCGCGCCCGGGGTGAACGAGAGAAGCAGCGCGGGCATCCTGGAAACATGAAATTCTACCGCGTCCAAACGGGCATTTGCGTTGGTCTTGCGGCGACAGCATGCGACGGAGTTCCGAATGGAAAATGCGCGCCGACTGGTTTGCCATGTCGAAGGTATCGACAATGTCGCCAGCGGCGCCAGCCTCGTCCATCCGCGCACGGCACGCGTGCTCGATGCGGCCCCCGAAGGCTTGCTGCTCGTCTCTGCCAATCGCGGGGTAAGCAAACGGGCATGACATGACCGCCTCAAGTCTCCCCCCCGCATGTCTGGCGACGTCGAGGTCGAGAGAGACCAGGGCGCCCAGGCGCCACTCGGCAGAGAGGTCGCACAGGAGGACAAAGTGGGCAACAAAGCATATTCCTCTTGAGTTGGCGAAAACGCAGCCGGCGCAAGTTCTCCCGGCGCCCGCAGCACGACGGCCCCAGTCGAGGCATTGGCCGTCAGCGCATGCTCGCTCATCTGGGTAGCCCGGCGCTGTCTGTCGACCCGGGGGCGAAGAAATCCGCGAAGAACGCGGAATCCGTCGCGTCGCATTGGACACCCGCGCACGCGCAGCACGGCGCGCCACCGACACCGCCGGCTGCCTACCACAGCTGCAGGAAAAAAGCCGCGCTACCAGCACCTGTCTCGGCGCGGACTGAAGCAATATCCGCCGCCGCGCCCCCCCGCGCGTCGAGGCGCGCCAGAGTGCCAAGTGCTGTCTGGCAAGGCCCCCGCAATCTCCCGAGGGGCCCCGCCCTCTCCCAGCCGCGCCTCGTCGCGAGAGCCAGCCCTACTCCCGGGGGGGCCCTGGGAGGCCAGGGCCCCCCATGGCTTCCTCGACGGCCCAGGAGGCCAAAGACTGCCCAGGACCCCGAGTCGCCGAGCGACCGCGCGAAGAACCCCAAGACGGCCTCAAAACGGCCGGAGAGGCCTCCAAGACGCCCCACAATTCCCCCAATAGGCCTCCAAGGAGAGCTCCAAGATGCAGAAACTGATGCTTCGCTTAGGTTTTGAAGGTTTTGGCGCTCGCGCCTTTTCGGCTTGCCGACGCCCCAGGACGGCCCAAGAAGCCCCCCGGACCACCCCAAGACGGCCCACGAGGCCTCCAAGAGGGCCCCGAGGCGGCCGCAAAGCGCCCCAAGACGGCCCAAGAGGCGCCCAGGACGGCCCAAGAGGGCCTCAAAATAATCTTAAGAGGAGCTGTTTCTTTCCAGGCGGCGGGGTGCCCGGGGGCGCTGGCGCTCTCTGCTGGTCGGCGGTGGCGTCTGCGGGGCTTGCAGACGTGGCTCGGCGGCCGCGCCGCCCTGAAGCGGCGGCGAGGCGCGCGCGCCTGGCCCTCTTGATGGCGCCCCCGCCGCGGGCCCGTCCGAAACGACGGGTCGGGCGAGACCGCAGTTTCGGTCGGCCCTCGCCGAGGGGCACGCTTCACGGGGGGCTCGATCTCGACAGCGGTCCAGGAACGACGCGCACGGCGGCGTTCGGCGGCGGCGCGGCCGCTTTGACGATGGCAAGATTATCCATAGCGGTTTCGCCCCATGCTGCGCGCTGCACATCGGGGCGCCATTGCAAGAACGCGAGGACCTTGGAGCTTTGCGTTCCCGCGGCACTCTGCGGCTCGATGCCCGCGACGCGGCGCGCGGCGTTGGCGAGCGCGGCAGCGGTGCCGCCGAGCGCGGGCGCGACAAACTTGGTCTTGTTCGATGCAGAATTCGACGCGGATGCCAACTCTTTAGCCCGCGCGGACGCCGCCGTAAGAATTGCGCCTTTGTTGGAGAGCGTTCGGGTGGCCGTCGGGATACCACGCCGCGACACAAGCACTGGGCGGTGGCCCGATGGCACCGTGACAGTTGACGTCGAACTGGACGCCGCCCTGTCCTGAAAAGGATGGAACCATGGGAACACCCGCTGAATGTATTCCAAAGGTGGTCGTCTGTCGTCAGTCTGCGCTTGACCACTGGATTCCGCGTCGCCCTAAAGCTGAAGTGAGAAGCGAAGAAGGCCGTCAAGGCGTCTGTGAGGTCCTCGTCCAGCTGTTGTCGCGCGCTGTCGCGCTTGGCTGCGTTGCGGCGCGCATTGGCCGTTTGCTGCGCCGAGCCCGCGCCGCCTGGCACGCGGGCGCAGTTGATGGCGGCGGCGCCAGAGAACTGGCAACGAAGAGGTCCTCCAGCGCTGGCGCGGCCTCGACACAAGCAGTTTCGCACAACGCGCCGCGGATCCACATTACGCCGTCGGCTGGGCCGAATGCGACCTGCACGACGCCGTGGAGGCAGTGGAACTCGGTGCGGCCCAGTTGGTAGATGGCCCCGATGATGTGTCCTGGCGCAGGTTTGGTAGCCTTCGCCGCCCGTCGGGGGACAAGGGCAAAGGCCTCCTGCCCTGGGAATGCGGCGCTGACCGGACCCAGAGACGGCCAGTGCGATCGGTTTGTCCCGTCGGCGGAGATGTTGCAGGATGTGGCGACCCCCGCGTAGCGAGTGGAATGGGATGCCGCTGGCGCATGATGTTCCGCCCTCCGCCGCCCCGGTGGCGGCGAGGGCGACAGGGGCATCCCAACGTAGCGCATCCATGCCGATGGGCGGGACAGCGCCGTTGCCCTGGCGAGTGCAAGCGGAAGCCGCGGACACTGGTGATTCGCAGCTGAAACCCGCCCCGTGGGTCAGGGATAGTGCAGCATGGTGCGGCTGGCTTTGTTCCCCTCACAAGTTCACCAGATCGCCCCTGAGCTCGCGCTAGTGAGGGCGGCATGATTGGTAAATGTTGCCGAGATGGGCATGATGCTTGTGAGCTAATTCGCTGTATGCAGCGACTGCTCGGTCGAAGCCGCCACTGCTGTGGAGCGCGGCGACGCAAGCGTCCTTTCGACCGAAGTTGGCACCCTGTCGATCCGTTAAGGTACCGCCTTTGGGTAACCCTTGCCTGGTGGCTTGGGCTGCGTCGGTGCAAAGGGCACAGAGCGTGGGACTTTCGGAGCCAAGGCGCACGCGCGGAACTGTAGGGAGGTGGCTCGAAACAGTCACATGCTGGGTTGGCGTGCGTCTGATCTCTCGCTGCGGTCAACGAAAGTGTCGGGCGCTTCGAGTCTGCGGCTACACCTGCACCCGAACGCACTCGAGCCGAGGCTAATAAGGGGAGGAGGAGAAGGGCGGGAGGAAGAAGAATTTGCCGCCAACGGCGACGTGCAGCCCACATACTCCACACACGGGTGGGCGAGGCCCGCGCGGGGACATAACATGATGAGCACTAAATAGGACAGATCGTGGACAAATCAGCCTTGATACCACGCTTCTTCGGATGGAGTCCACGCTTCAATATGTCCCTAGCTTTGCTATGAGTGTTCGGATTTGGTTCGCATTGTATTTTCCAGGTTGGCCAGCCGAGCGCCAGAGGTGAAGCAGGCACACGTGTGAAAACACATGTGTATGTGTATATATATACATACACATACATACATACATACATACATACATACATACAATACAATACAATACAACACAATGCAATACAATACAATACAATGCAATACAATACAATACAATACAATGCCATACAACACAACACAATACCATACCATACCATACCATACCATACCATAATATACCATACCATACACACATACATACATACATACATACAGACATACATACGTGCATACATACATGCATATACACACATACATACATACATACATACATACATACATACATACATACATACAGACAGACAGACAGACAGACAGACAGACAGACAGACAGACAGACAGACATACATACATGCATACATACATACATACATGCATACATGCATGCATGCATGCATGCATGCATACATACATACATACATACATGCATGCATACATACATACATACGTACATACATACATCCGTACATACATGCATACATACATACATACATACATACATACATACCTACCTACCTACCTACCTACCTACCTACCTACGTACGTACGTACGTACGTACGTACATACATACATACATACATACATACATACATACATACATGCATGCATACATACATACATACATACATACATACATACATACATACATACATACATACATACATACATACATACACATATACACATATGTGTATACATATGTATATGTACAGTCCTAGGAGGCAGGTCCTGATCCCGAGGAGACCTGGACACGCGCAAAAAAATAGAGACACTGCCGAAAGGAGCCGACCCAAGACCAACTATGCGAAGGATGGTGCGGGTTGGAAGGACGAGGCGGCTCGGGCTCCTGTTCCACGAAGCCCGAAGCTCGAGGCGCGGCCAAGAAGGCATTAACTTGACCGTCAAAACTCCGACAACTCTGGCCACCCGAAACTTGTTACTGCTAGACTCGAGCACACGGGCCTCGGGCTCAAAAAGAGGAGGGCGGGAGGATCAGCACGTGGTTTGGAGAGTGCAGCAGGCTAGCTCCGCTCAGGCGCTGGATCCCTCTGTTGGGACTGGGATTCTGGAATACTGGTGGTTTCAGCGGCCAGAGGAGGGCTCAGGAAGAGAGAGGGGGGCGGGGGGAAACGGGAGCATGACTTGGGGTGCTTCCCCCGACAGAGAAGGTCCGCTGAGCCTTGTCCTCGTCTCTCTTGAAACCTTGGCAGCTCTCTTTGAGCTCTCGCCCATGTGATTCACTTCACTTGCCGCAGCTGGAACAAATCAACACAAACTTTCGACTCTGCCTCTGGCGGGAAACGTAAAATTGGTGGCCCGTGGGGTCTGCAGCTATCTGTGACAACTGTAAGTGATAGCACTCGCAAGCATCTCTTTTGCGAGTCTCAAAAGTACCGACCGGGCAGATTGCTTTGCAGACCGAGCATCGCCACTCCTGGGGCCTGCCGCTCCATTCCCAGGGCTGAAGACTTGTGTGAGGCCGCGGGACCGAGGGAGCAGGAGGAGGAGGAGCCTCCCCTGTCCAAGCCACACGGGCGCTGTGGGCTGAGCCACAGCTTTGTCCCGAGAGGCGAGAGCCTTTCTTTCCTGGTCACTGGTCCCACGGGCTCCCACGGGCTTCCACAGACTTAAAGCAGTAGAGACATACCTGAGCCACTTCGCCAGCAGGGGTTCGGCGTTGGTGGCTTCTTCTACTTCTGTGGCCGAAGGCCGCTGTAACATCTGGGCACCAACTTTAGCGAATTGTCAGCAAGATCGTTTCCCGTGGCGTCTAGCTACTCGTTCGAGCCCTAGGTGAAAGAGTCTAGGCTCTGATGAGCCTTAAGGCTAGAGAACTTGATTCCTCGGTGCCAGTTGGCGGAACCTTTAGACAGCATGGCCACTCCAGAAAAAAATGCTTACGACAGCGAAATTCGCTGTACACGTCTAGGGTGCCTTGATAATTTGTGATAAGATTGTCTGTGGCTCGGGGGGAAAGAGGAGGCGACAGCAGCAAGCACAGCAAGGAGGAGGGTAGAGAAGAAGAGGGCAGGAGGAGGAGGAGGAGGAGGGGGAGGGAGAGAATTCAGAGGAAGGGGTTGTGGCTCGAGGTTCGAAGATGGACGCTGTTTCTAGCGTTTTTCCCCACATTCGAAACATGTGTTTGTTCTATGTGTCAAGCCTCCGCCTCCTCCCCTCACTCCCCGCCTCCCTCCCTGCCCATACTCACTTTCGCTGAAACCTATGTTTTTGTTGTGATGACGTTCCACACATCTTTCTGTTCTGCTCAAGACCTGCTGATCCTCTTGAGCCGGCACCTGATCTGCCCGTGGTAGTGGTCCTTCTCGGTCCACTGCGTGACCTACACAGGAGGAGAGACCCAGAAGAGGATCGAGCTTTCGTCCATGCCTTCAGCTTCAGAGGGCCTCCTGGGCCATCCTCGTGGCCACGGCTGGATCCGACTCGAAGATCTCAGCGGAACGCACCCCTGTACGGTTTTGGGGGGCGATGTTGACGGGGCCGCCGAGGTTCATCTAAGGTCCACAGAATCCATCGGGTAGGAAACCACATGTGAACTACCCCTGCAAGTCAGATGTCAGAGATGCCAGCCGGGGTTCAGCATTAGATCGAAGGATGTCTGCAGCCAAGTGAACCCCAACATGGGTGTCCGACGCCGATGCCCAGGCGTCGAGTGGACCCGCAGGGGTAGGGCTTGCAGTTGGTTGCAAAGGGGGCCTGCGAGGGATCCCCACAGAGCTGTGGACGCGGACGCCTGGCCCGCCCCGTGGGCGCGAAGCCTCCCTGGGCCCGTCGCCGAGGCGGCGGTGGGGAAACCAACTAGATACTGATACCGCTACTCCTCAGATCTCTCCTGGTCGGAGTCTGACCAGAATCTCGAGGCGACGCACGCCAGCCGTGGCGTCGAGGGCCTCCTCGGAGGCCAAAAAAACTCGAAAGCAAGTAACGGGTAGCGGTATCCGTACCTTTTCCTCCGCTGAGGTGGGAGGTGGATTCACTCCTCCTCCTCCTCCACCTACTCCTCCTCCTCCTCCTCCTCCACCTCCTCCTGCTCCTCCTCCTCCTCCTCCTCCTCCTCCTCCCCCCTTGGTCGGCAGGCGACCAGCTCCGCGAACTGGGTTAAGGCTCGCCGGAGGTCCACGGTCTGGCCTGGGACGGCGCCCTGCTCCCGCGAGAAGCAGAAGCCCACGAACATGCCGCAGCCCTGGCTGGCACGCCCGAAGTGGATACGGAGAGGATGAGTACGATGCCCAACCCTCAGATCCGAACGTTGCAATGTGTTTCACATCCAGCGCTTGTGCCGGGTATCGGGCCCTGGGACCGACACAGATCGATCTGGCTCGCAAATGCCGCAGAAAGATGGGATCTGGGACTCTGGTCAGAATGTTTTGCGATGTCGCAAGTTGCGTGCAACGTCAGATTTCGGGGAAGTGTCCAAAACCAGCAGCGGCCGCTGTGGGGCAGGCGGCCTATTGCATCGAATGGACAAAAGTCTGCGGCGGCACCGACAGCGAATCCTGCTCAAAACGAACGAGACCTGCTGTCGGTTTTTGCCCCCAATCTTCACGTACCCTCTTCAACCGTACTGACCTGGGGCCAGACGGGGTCGGTGCCGCACAAGTCGTACTGCACCGGGTTCGGGTGGACAACAGAAGCTGCAAAGACCAGCACGTCAACAGCATGCAGCCAGATCGTGCTACCACAAGGAACGCTGGATACGGAGCGCACGGGCTCTTCTGGCCACGGCGGGCCTCGGCCAGGAAAAAGCTCCCAACCTGGCTCTCGGGAGCGGCCCGCAGACGGGCACCCCTCCTGCTCCGAGCGTGGTCCTGCTTCCAGCGTCCTGCCCGTAGACTGTCGGAGGCCCGCGTGGATCTCTTGGGCTGGCGCTCGGCCCCCCTCCCCACGCCGCTGACGGCGCCTCGGGCGCCACCCCCCCCCCCTCGGCGCCCTCGGAGCGCGCTGGGGGTGCGGCGACGGGAGGTCCGAGCGCCGACACAAGGAGTCCACGTTTCTTTGCCGTCGCAGCGCGGCAGAGGCAAGCCGCACGCGCGCTCTAGTGGGCCAGGCGATGGCAGGCACGAACTGTCCGGCGGCAAAAGGGGGAGACAAAGGCGAAGCGCGTCCGCGGAGGGAGGGAGGGGAAGGAGGGCACTCACAGCGCGAAGGACTTCGACTGGAGTGGCCAGGCGGCCAGCCCAGGAAGTCCACGCAGGCCTCCGAAGGCTTATGCGTGTGCCCGTGTTTGCTCTTCTGGCTGATCATGCCTGTGGCGGCCTCCAGCTCCATGACTAGGAAGCGCAGCTTGCTCTCCACGAAGCCGCTGAACTTCGTGTAGGCCTCGTCCGTCTTGGCCAGGACCTCCAGCCACAGGAAGTGGCCGAAGCGGGTGAAGAACGGGAAGGGTTCCTAGAAGAAAGAAAACATGCACATGCACAAGGCATCGCATTTGGGGGGTCTGCGCGGATTTCATCTGCGCTGACCCCCTGAGCGCGCAAGGGCGGCGCCTCTGGCGCCGCCAGGGTGGTCCAGCGTCGATCCAAGAAATCTGCGCAGACCTCCCAAAGTTTATGTTTATGCAATGTGTTCTTCCTCGAGCTCCGTGACTTGCGACCACGTGGCCTTCCGCGCCTCGACGTTTTTCATCGTCTCGTAGCCCCGTTTGAACTCCTCTAGCATGATGCGCTTGGTCGTCTCCGTCACGTTGTAGGTCGAGTTCATTGAAGGGAAGGCGGGCGTGATGACGGGCATCAGGTGCTGGCGGTCCGCGGGGTTGGTCTTCGGGTTCCACACCTTGAACTCAGTCATCCCAGGAACATTCGCAGGATCCGTGATCTCGCATAGCAGGACAGGCTTCCTTGAGGGGGGGGCAAAGGAAGAACTGGCTCAGCGTGGGGCACGTCGACCTAGAATCGCCGATCTGTGTATTATCAGAGTGAGGGGGCCAAACGGCCATTCATTGTCCCTGGGTGCGTGGCTGAAGTGGGCATCCGTGGTGAGGA